GATAGATAGATAGATAGATAGATAGATAGATAGATAGATAGATAGATAGACAGACAGACAGACAGACAGACAGACAGAGTTCCCCTGTCTATCACTAGACACATAGCTTATCAGGTTGCAACTAGCCAAGTATACAGTTTAACATTTTAATAAACCATGGGAGCCTGGTTATTGTGTAAAGCAAAACCACCTAGCTTAATATCTTGCTTATAGAGAGGGTCAGACTCAATTAGATACTTTTAGATACTCATGAAAATGTTATATAGGTAGTGATGATTAGACTTCTCCAGTGTTTGGAGAATGTTTGGTGCTGTACCTCACAGAACTACTAATAGTTCTGTAGCTATAACTGTATAATTATAATCAGGTTATATAAAAGGATATCTTCTCTTTAATATTGGATTATAGTATGGACCTCATACTTAATATATTCTCTCAAGTTGTTTCTAACACAGTTTTAAATGTGTGCCTAATCTCATTAGCACTACTCAAATTTTTAAATAGATAGCCAACACTGTGATTTTGTAGTCCCATGAAGTAACATACACGCTATGCATTTAACAGATTGAGTGGTTGGATGCTTCTTCTCAAGGACTAATCTACACATTATCACTGGGTGATTCAAAACTGGTGTTTCACAGATAAATGTGAAAATGTCTGCATTTAAGGCTATTTCTTTGTAAGTTGAAAGGCAGACAAAGTAAGCTCTGTTGGATTTGGGGTGATTGCTCCAGGCTTGCAATTCACAATCTGGAATGTGCACATGCCTGTTTTTATGCAGCTCCTATGCATTCATTCTTTCCCTTGCAGGAGTCCCTTTTTAAACAAATGTGAATGATGTTGCAGCATCTTGAACTAGTCCAAACTCCTTGTTTCCTTTCCTCTTTTGTATCAAGCTAAGAGCTTTGTCCATGTAAAACACAGAACCATTGTATGTTTTAGTTAATAAACTGAGCTTCAGTAAACCAAATGTACAGCATGTGAATCAACTATGTAATAGAAAGTCATCTCTTTCTTGTGCATAACAGTTAAATCCATGACTACTTTTATTTAAAACGTTTGCTAAAATGTTTTCGTGCTCAGTCAATTATTTCCTTAATGATCAAAATAAAACAAAGCATAAAACAGTTCTTAATTCAAGTTTTATGAAATGGAGCTTGCAGTTTTATTATTGTTTGTATGTCTAGATTTTTTACAAGAATTCAACATAGTATGTGTGAAGGCTCTGCCTTACTTTTTCTCCCAAAAGTTTTGGAATGTGTTGGGCTGAAAGAGAATGGCTGATTTGTAACTTAGAAATGGCCATTTGCTCTGGAAATAAAATCTTCAAGTTACATTTGATGTCTGATGACCACATGGGTACACCCATGTAGTTTGCTTTACAAAAAAATCAGAGTTGGTGTACTATTTGCTTTGTTTTAGAATTTCCCTGATTATTTAGTTAATTCCACACCTTGGGATTTTCTAGTGGGTTCTCATTCACATAATAACCAGTTCCAGTTGAGAATTTTCAAGTTGAATTGAATGTTCTCATGTCCTAAGAGGCTGTTATTGTTTGCATGTTGCAGTTTTCTCTCGTTTCCAGTGATATCTCTTGATGAGGATGGCACTGTCCCTACAGGAACAATTTCAGGGGGGGGGGCTCCTGCAGGATTCAGAAGTGCTATTTGATTGACAGGTGGAAGTCAGGAAATATTTTTTTCCAGCTCTAGTGGGTGAACCTTGGAATATGATGTCACAACAGTAACTTATGCCCTCATCATAGTTGCTTGGACGACTGTAATGAACTCTATAGAAGGTTCCCCTTTGAAGATTACCCAGAATCTACAATTGGTGTTACACACGATATGGGATACCAGTGTTCTGAGCTCTGGAATAGCTTTCTATTCACTTCCAAGAGCCATTCAAATGGTAGGTTTTTTTTCACAACTATTAAAGCCTGTCCAATCACACTTGGCCAATAAACTATTCTATTCTATTCTATTCTATTCTATTCTATTCTATTCTATTCT